GCGGCCGACTGGAAGAGGCTTTAAGCGAGAATTACGGAGATATTCCAGAGCGATTAATGGGACATCCTCAATCGCGAAGTTGAAGAGGAACGGGGACATGGGGCATCACTGTCGCACACCACTAGCGACGAAGAGAGCGAGCTGTAAACCCACTCTGCCAGAGACACCATTGTGTAAAGCTCGAAGTATGGCGATATACTTCTCAGGCAGTCCATTTCTTTGCAAACGCCATAAAACAGGTCGATTGATAGAGTCGAACGCAGCTCGGATGTCCAAAAATGCGACAGTGTACGGCTGGCGATAAAGGTGTCGTTGCTCGAGGAGTTGACGAAGCGTAAACATCTGGTCTACACACCATTAGCCTGTTCCTCACGGACGTGTAGTTCTCGAATCGGTGTTACCCTGCGCAGTAGAATGGAAGTTAGCAATTTTGAGGCGAAGGATATTAGGCTGATTCCTCTGTGGTTGGCGCATGAGGTATAAACACCATTTTAAAAATCGGTATGATAATCGACTCGCCTCAATAGGATGGAACCTTTAATTCACACCCGATGTTTGAAAATAGAGCTATTAATTAGTTGACAAATGCCTTGTCGCCGTGCTTGAACAACTCCGGAGGAAGTCTGTCTGAGCCAGTAGCTTTGAGTCGTTTTAAGTGACGAGGTTCAGGACAGACCTCTACTTCGATGGATGGTTCCAGTGAAACGTGCCAGAGAAGGCAAGTAGACATACTTGTTAAACAACAAGGAAGAGACCAATTGAATTGAGAGTGGAAGTACTCAGCCCTAGCGGTCCACGCACCTATGCAAATGAATGCTTGATTAAACCAATAACCTAGCAAATAGCTTCAGTGGTTCCGGATCTTCTGCGGCCAGAGGTCCGAATGATCTGGAAAAGTTTGCGAAAAATGCAAGAGATAGCTGCTGTCATCTGGGAAGCGCGCTGAGACCACTAAGTTTTGCGATCGTTACACAGGTTTTGCTTAAGTTGTTGGCGGAGGTTGCGGCGAAGTTCATCGCAGCTTGAATCAGCTGTTACAGCTCTACGACGGTCAAACAATTCCAAAGAGCGAGTAGAGATAAAGCCTCCAAGAGGACGCTTAGTGAGTCCACACTATGATTGACCTAAAGAAAGCAACGCCTTCTGCAAGAAATTCCAGTGAACTTCGACATCTGTAAATGGGGCAGCGATCGTAACTGATAAGGAGAATTGACAGACAAGTTGAAGCGAGGGGTTAGCTAGCCTGTTGGTATCCAGTGTAGGGTGCTTTGGTTTCGAGGAAAAACCAAACCGCATGCAGATGCCCACAAGGACCAGAGCGTGATCTGAGTTGAGGTAGGTGGACAAATCCATCGTATACCGCTCTGTCATCTGAAGCTGATTGCAATGTGATCAATTTGTGACCACGCTTGCATTGACGAAAGGGGACGCCAAGGGGCGGCGCCTGAAGTTCGTGCTCGCGAGAAAGAGCCGGCTGTCCTCAGACAACTTGAGAAGCCTATCTCCGCAAGAGCGTGACGACCACCAAGATGACATTCGCATGACAGTAGGCTACCGACCAGTGCACTGAAGTCTCCGGCAAGGACGACATGATTTTTTTGCTTTACCCAAACGCTAGTGGAATCTGCGATAAAAATCCTCCTTGACCGATGAACAATCGCAGTCGGTTGTAGCGTAGGTTGAAACCAAAAACAAATTGCGTTCCTCTGGACGATGTCTATTGATGCCGCATGAGTCTTGTGGTAGAACCGCACACAAGCAGCTGTTAATCGGAAACCAAACGAGCAGCGAGGCTTTAGCTTGGTCACTCAATGAGATGCCAATATTGGCCAGGCCAGCTGCAACAACCCCTGTGTGACCAAACAAATGCAGGAAATATTTGGTCATGATCAGCAAGGAACGTCAACCTAACTACAGTGTTGGAGTCGTATCCGAATATCCGAAAGATAACAGACATCAATAACGAGGGACTCTAAGGTGCGTGCCAGACCGGCCTGTTTTCCGATCTGCATTAGGGTTCTAACTTTGAAGACTACCAGCCGAAATGGAGATCGAGGACGAAGAAGGGCCAGTGGCAGGACTCTCTGGACATAGATGAGACTGTCATCAGAGATAGATTCAGAGGAATTATTGATGAATGTATAATTAGCGTGTAATGAAAGTGCGTAAACAGTCAGGAGTTTCGAGATACATGGTTGTGTCAGCGGGCGAGATACTACCCGGCTGCCGAAGCCGAGGTAGGAAATTGTCGTAGGGGGCACCACCCGGAGCGTTCGGGTGAATAGCATACCAGCAAGGCAAGGGGCAAATTAAGGGAATCGCGCTTAAGGGGAGCCAGGGACCAATTACTAAGCTCATACGCCTACCGTTTGGACGCTTATCAAACAGGGACACAATTCTCCCTATAGCTTCAGCATCGGATTGCTGGATTTACAATGCTCCGTTAGAGTGAAGCAAAGAGCAGTTACCTTATTTAGTGGCGAGCCACATCCGCCAAGTCGCAGTGTTTTAACGAGACATTTGTGGCGTTTTATAAGAAAATGGCTTGCCAGGCGAAAACTTCTGGAACACTGACGCCGAACCACTGGAAGGAACGGGATAATCCCGAACCACCCAGCTGACACCACGGGGTTGTGTGACAAGTTAGCCAGTCGGTGCTGAAATTAAAAGGTGAATAAGTGCTTTGGCAATGTTTACGTATTACTCCAGCACACCTTTTTTGAGTAGACAGTGTCAAACGTCACAACGATTCACCGAAGCGAAGATACCTTTGATGCCGAAGCACAGTACTACAATAACTGACCTAAAGTAAAAATGTGGTTAACACAGCCTCCATTTCGAAGAAGTCCGCTTGCTCTTCACGTATCTCGCTCTCACGTGTCATTTAGTCTATGGAGGACGACAGAGGCAAGCAACTTGGAGGTAATTGAGATCAGGCTGATACTACTATGGATGCCGCGCTCCGAACATAAATCTATCTTAAAAAATGGGACAATAATGGAGCAGCTCCAGCTCTTACAGCTTCACCAGTAAGTCGTGCAAGTCACTCAAAAGAGCAAGTCTTGGAATTTGTAGAGGGCTAGAGGAAATCTATTTGCTCCTGCGGCTTTATGCGGTTTCAACAGTCTGATCTCGTGTTCGACTTCTGCGCGTGATAGCGGATCCAAGAGGACGGCTTAGCAAGAAGGGCGATCAGTGGCCCATAAGGAAGCTGGTAACTATGCCTCTTAGACCCCGCGCTCTAAGTGTTTTGACAAGCAATGGATTGACTATCCAATCTCGTCGCATATAGCCTCGCTACCACCAGGTCTCCTGCTACACGTCTATCCTATCAGACGGGATAGCTTCCGATGGTTACTAATGGCAGCAGTCATTTTATCTTCGATGAGTGGTGACATCACCAGAATCCGCAGTCGCCCTTCAACTAATGACGCAGTTTCTCCCAGATGTCTTTGCGAATCCCACTGTGTTCGTTTCTAGGCGGAAATTGTCGGCGAACATCAGGGATCCCAGAGACTGTGCTGAGACCCAACGTCCAGGATTGTAATTTGATTTGCCACATTGAGATATGCCTGCTGCTAAAATGGTCTAACGGATATGTCACCAGTGACTATGTGTGGAGAGCGCTTACTCGAACCGTATGCCAAATCAGTTTGATATACATTCAGAACACCTGGCTTAGCCAGCTGGCTGATGTGCATGCACTCACACCGTCATCACAGACGTCCACCAGACAAGAACAACAAGATCCGCCAAAACGCATCCGCAGACCGGCACATGTAAATGCATGGGCACAGTCCACGTTTGCGCTGCAAAGCGAGGGACAGTTTTGAACAGAGCATCTTCAACGGGAACTGATCGTGATGTGTTCAATTCGCGTCCATGGTTGCTCCAACGGTGGGGGCGTCATACCATCCGTTTGCGGGTGCTGTGACGGAATTTAGTGCCCGCGATAAATAGATGAGTGTTTTCACAAGGGTGTGACAACCACACACCGTTATCACTACGAGATCCTACACCGTGTTGGCTGCCAATGAGCAGCTCATCAGTGAGCACTTCTCTAATTGTAGCGTTCAGATAACCATCCAGTACTACAGTATCCGCAATTCTGCTATGACGAAGGAGCCCGTAGAGTATGTGACAGAAGTCATCTTTCACCGGGTAAGCACTACCGTTTGTGGGGCGTAGGCCGCAATGATAAACAGGCGCCGTTCGTTCGTGTGCGAAATCGAAGCTTTGAATGAACCAGTCAATCTGACGGCGCGCACAGAGCTCAAATCTTGCAGGCGGGTTTCTAAAAAACAACATATCGATGCTTAGGGTTTCTAGTGTTCACACAAGTGCCGTTGTTGGTCAATCTGCGTCAAAGCATGCAGGTTGATGAAAATCAGTGTTAGTGAGGATTGAGGGCTCCAGATGAGTGTAAATATGCTGGTGTTGTCCGCTTGATTGAATATGGACTTGTCTACTGGACTGAAGCGACGTCCTGTAATTACGTGTGAGTTGAATCTAGAAGACAAGCGACTACCGAAGCAAGATAGTGGAGGGCCAAGAAGTGGAAGGAGGATAAGAGTGAAGTTGGAACTGGACGATAAGGAATAAAAGATGCAAGAGAGGAAATGAGACTGGAAGGCCTGAGCAGCAGCATCTTCGCCCCTGTCCACCCTGTTCGATAAGACTGATATGGCGCTGCTGATCATTCTCTGCGACGGGTAGAACATCAGTAAATTTGGGGTATTGTGTGGGCATGAGACTATCAAGGTCTAGACAGGAGAACGATTAAGGTTCTCAAACAAAACTTTTGGCTCAAAAACTGACCGCAAAACGACGGGGTTTTGACTATGGGCTACAATGCGTTCTATGGAATAACAGGCCACCCTCATCCCAACCCCCAATCTGGATGGTCAGAAGACTGAGTTTGTTTGGCTTCTAACCGTTGTGTCGCATGCATTCACTTACCCCGTTTTACGTCACATCATAATCAAATGCTTTGCCTTTTAGCTGAAGTACCTACTTTGTTACACGCGTAAAGCGTATACTTCCTACTCCGTGTCATTTCGTCTGTTATGCCATCTCCATCTAAAGCATCAATTTACTGGTTTAACAACACCATGGACCGCTATCTTCATCCTGATTACCTCAACACTGCTTTGAATGCTTCAGATGCCTCTAAACAGTGGACGAATTGACTTCTAACATTCAACGCCTTCTTAAAGTGAGTTCCATCTGACGATTCGGATAAGCTAGACATGCTTGTCAACTTGCTGTCTCCTTCCATATATCAACATATCGTTGAATGCAAAGCCTTCGAAAGTACTGTTTCGCTTCTTCGATCCCCACATATGTGTCCTAAAAATACGGTGTCGGCTCGATATCTTTTAACCACGTGCAAGCAGGAATGTGTACAAAAGATCAGTCAGTTTGTGGGAGGCATCCAACTTTTAGCGAAGGACTACAGTTTTTGCGCGCGCTCTCTCTCAGCTGACGGTGCCATGCGTGATGCCCTTATAGCCGCATTACAGTCAAATTACATTCGAATGAGGCTCCTGAAACAACCAGTCTTAAGCTTTCACACTATTTATGAAATAGCAACGTCGTTGGAGTTTGCTCTGAAACAGTCACATATTTACGGAACTGAAATCATCCTCTGTACCTCGAAAACGTTTGTTCCAGTAACTCAGGCGAGACCGAACCGACTGTATCAGTCGTATGCAGAAGAAATTGCTATTTCTGCGGATATCATACAAACCCCCTTGAAGTGTCCCGCGAAAAATGGCATTTGCAAAACTTGCGGGAAACGGGGCATTTCAAACACCTGTGCAAATCCAAACCCGCCATTTTGTCCATTACTTCAGTACCACATCCATGTTTTCTTGTTGTGACAACCACAACTTCAGGCTGCTTGTCACGTACAACAGTAAAAATGCTTGCAAGTAACACCAAACTGTATGGCTTGACTGATACTGGCATCTTTGATAGTTATGTGTCTCAAGTCGTTGTTTAATCTCACCTATGGAAAATCTATGCTTGTGACTTCAAAATCACTATGGTTTCCACCTCTCCGTTGTGCGCCGTTCACAGATACAGTAATGTTCGAATTTGCTACCAAAGCGTTGTATACGACGTTCGGCTTTCCGTTATTCGCAATCGGCCATGACTAACTTGGCTTGTAAAACAATGTGGCAGTATCATTCGGTGGAGGACGCGGCACTTTCTCGCTGGGTGGACTAACAGCAGTTGACATCGAATCATCTCTACTACTTGCCAAATTATCATGACTGCAAACCGTTCGCTACAAAGTGCCGTTGACACTCGATTGATGATGATCATTGTATAAAAGCTGAAATATAGCGATTACTACATTGAATCGTCAAGATCTCTAGAGGGAGAACAAATACTGGTTACTACCGTGTTGACTTAACGTAGGAAATGGTCGTTGATTACAGAAAGATGGCCAATCGTTTCCATTGCTAGATGATTATCAGTTACCACGAATTAGCAAAATTTTAAAAACGATATATCATTATGTCACATAGAGTACACTGGATCTGAAAATTGCCTATCATCAGATCCCGGTTGCTGAGCGAGAAAAGCCGTACACCACCTTTGAAGCCCACGGAAACCTTTTCTAATTTGGCCGTGTTCAATTCGGGGTCACAGATGGTAGGGCTTGTTTCCCGTGTACTACCGGCAGGACACTGAAAACGGAAGGTCTCAATGACATTTGTTTATATAGGTAACGTTATGTGTGCGGTATAACTATGGATGTTCACAAACAAAAGCTCCAGAAATTCTTGGTAGCTGTTGTTAAATACGGCATAATTTTGAACGAGGAAGTTCGTCTCCTGCGTTACCATATAACTAATGGCAAAGTCATGCCCGACCCAGAACACATGAAACCTCTGCATCAACTTCCCCCTCCAAATGGTCTGAGATCTCAATGACGCACTGTTGGTATTTTCACTTATTACCCACAGTGGTTCCGTTCTCAGACAAAAGCAGTCCGTTAGTGAAGAAGCAAGTCTGTCTCCTACCAACACATAGAAAATGCGTTTGAATAGCTTAAGATGGTCTTGGAAAGTGCTATGATGGTGAGAATTAATTATACTATGCCATTAGTTGTGAAAATATGCATCTGACAGCCATAACTGCCTCGCTTAGTCAGAGCAATCGTCCAGTCACCTTTCGCTCATGTACCTCGTCCCCCAAGAAAAAACATCATTCAGCTGTTGAAAAAGAGGCGTAGGCTATTGTGGAAGCTGCTAAAATGTGACGATACTATCTCCTTGGAACACAATACGAACTTATCACTGATAAGCGATCCGTAGCCCACATGTACGGCGATGGTCAAATAAGCAAAATTAAGAACTATGAAACCCAGAGTTAGCAACTGGAACTGTCATCATACTAATACGGCATGAGTTGCAGATCTGCTAAAGCTAACCGGGTCGCAGGCACTTTCTTGTATCACGTGAGCCAAAAAGTCTAACGGTACGAAACTGCAAGATCTCTAAAACTCAATGTGCCACCCAGGAGTAACCAGAACGGTTTATTCCCCGAGCTCTAAAAAGTGCACTGTGCACCTTAAGAATCCTGATTCTGCAAGCCATCCACGGACTGACTCAACAAAGCTACGCAGCCACACGAACGGTTCAGTATAGATTCCAAAGGATCATTATCAACAAGGATTCGCAACAGATAGTTACTGGCTATTGTTGAAGAATACAGCAGATTTTCTTTCGCATTTGTATGCTCGGATATGTTTGCTTCAACCAGCACCAATTGCCTCTGCTAGTTGTTCGCTGTTTTGGTATGCCGGCGTGCATGCACTCTCACTGAAGACCTTAATCCATGTCTGCATTGTTTACTAACTTCGTACTGGACAAAGGAGTGGCGACTAGTCAGACAATTGCCTACAACCCACAAGCTAATGGCCAAGTGGAACTCTGGAATGCTAGTTCTTTCGCTCTACGAACCAGAAACCTGGCAACTTAGTAGTGATAATTTATCCTTCATGACGCATTCCAGTCCATCCATTCTTCGCGTAGCACTGCTACAAACACCACTTCTCATGAACGACTCTTTTGCTTTGCTCGTCGTTCGCCGAATGAAACTTCCATACCATTAAGGCTCATGGTCCCTGGCCAGGTCTCACTCAAACGAATAGACAAGCCTTCAAAATGCGGACCTAGAATGGAGGAGGTAGATGTCAAGCTGCAACCGTTATTACGCCCGTGTGCGACAAGCTGATGGTAGAGAAGATAATGTCTCCACCAGTCACGTGATCCATCGTGGCGATATTCTCTTTTTACCATCTGAAATCCAGGAGGCACCAGATACCGCCTTAACCACTCAAACCGACAATACACGAACCCCATCACCAGAGCTTTCAGAGAATGGCTGCTCGTGTGGTCTCTATTCGCCCATATTCTCATTCCGATATTCTAAGCTAGCAGCAGAGAACATGTACGTACCACTTCCAAAATAGGCAGGTTTAGCCTAAGGATTTTCCCCTTGTAAAGCACATTCTTAAAAATGATTTATTTTTTCGCTATTTTGAAAGTCGTATGAATTTGTTTGCCTTCTCTTACACAGTATATCATAATCAACCCCTTAACCTTTCAGCTGATGCACCTTTGTTGTTAAACCAGTAAAGCGCATGCTTGCTACTCCGTGTTATTCCGTTTGTTGTGCTATCTCGGCTCAACACATCACATTGACCCATCTTGCATGAATGGCTCTAAATGTGCAAAGAACATCAACAGGTACAACTCAATGGATCGTTGAGGCGCAGACCGATGCGCTATAATTAGCAACTCCCCACTGAATGCCAACACTTGTTGGCTTATGTTGCTTAATAACACCGTGAACTGGTTGCTGGGTTCACAAGATGACGAGTTGTCATGAGGCGCTTAGTGATAGATAGTGAGGAGCCCAGATTCATCCTGGGATCCGTTCCGTACTGCTGCATACTTAGCCGCCCTATGAGACAAGTGTCCACCAGTTCTGTTTATGTAAATGTCACTGCAGCTGCAGCTAAACTGTTGAAAAATGTGAAAGACCGAACTACCTGACGAGCTGCACTGAAAGTTAAAAAGGTTTTACGTGGGGTGCATGAGTCGCAAATTGGCAGCCGTGCGTATTAAGGCGGATCTGAGTTTGTGTCCAATACCATTTGTATCATGGTCTTTATGAACGACGAAAGCAAATGGTCACCACTGTTATTTGCCGCTAATACTTGTATCTGCTCGTTAGGAGGCTTGCTGTGGATTTAGATGAACTTTCCGGGATACCCATTTGACTCCAAGGGCCTCTACAGGAAACCTTCGGCTTTAAATATTCCCAAGCTGAAAATCCGTCTAGCACTGTAGAACACTACATTTGTAAGTAACCGGGGCGTAGCTGGAATAGAAAAAATACTGCTCACTCTAGATCGCATTGTAGTGAACAACACGCCGTAGTGTACCTCCGACCCGTCTCAAGGTGAAGTTCTGTTGAAACAGGAATGATAGGATAATCTCGCTGATATTCCTTCTATAGCATATCGTTGAACTGGGAACTAATTAGCGTAAAACAAAAACCGCATGACACTGAGCAGCCAGTTACTGCCCACATTTTCTGAACAGCGGATCCTTCAAGGTTGATTTATGTGAAGTAAGAGTGAATCATAAGTTAAGAAAACAATAGGGGAAATGACAACGAAATGATTATTTTGCAGACCTTTCGCTGTCAGACTAGACAAGATCGTCAGTGCGGCTTTAAGGTCCTGTTTCGCAGAGCCGCGTAAGCGACTTCGAGATCTCGCAGCATCCTTTCGGAAATACGGTGCGCAAGCCTCTAGACAGTATCATAATCATCAACAACAGCAGTTAATCAGCCATGTGAACTGATGCTTCGCTGCCATACAATCATGAGGACCTATGAAATAAAGAATAATAAGGGAGAGAAGGGGGATTTACCTGAAAACCTTATTGCCCTAAGCAAACAATCAGGGTCAAGGCGCCTACACCTTGTGCAGACAACATACAGTCACAAACAGCTGGCTATCGTGCAAAGGCGATATCGGCGAGACAGCTGCTTGCGGCTTTCATTGTCCCGCGTCATAATCAACCATTACCCCACAGATAACTTAGCGCCAAACACACTTTAAACAGGTAGTCGGACTGGGAGACAGTAGCAGATAAGCCACTGGTGTGGGCTGCGAGCCGTCCTGTAACGTCTCGAGCCAAGTACAAAGGGGGTAAAGTGAGCTCCAGCCCGGAAGGCGAGAAGGACCGACGACCCCAGTTGGGTTGTCAGTGACTTCATTCCCTTTGCGAAGTCAAGTTCTGTCCACTTCAAGCCTTGCGCCAATCTATACCTGGCAGACTAACCAAGGACCTCCTAGGTAAGCGGTGACCAGGCATACGTAGCACGTGCCCAAGCCAACGCAACGCATTCAGTGCTATATGCTGTTCTAAGGAGCTAGCATGATTATCACTACCTAGTATTCGCCTAAGGAACATCATCGTTGTAGACAGGCTGGTGCCACCCGACACCAGCAAGGCTTCGCAGACAAGGATGATAAGAGACTTAAAGGTGCCCTAGATTTTCAGACCGAAGGGGTCAAGTCTCACTACCGTAGAGCAGAAAGGCCCACACTGTGGCACAGTATACAAGGCCTTTCAGAGCGAAACTACCTTCTGTCGCCAAAGATGCCGTAGATCCAATAAGGCAGTTTTGCCTTTGCAATACGTGAACTGACTTCAGTTTCTCTGCGCCCATCGTTGCCGATGCAGCTGCCAAGGGAAGTGAATCGATCAACCACCTCGAGTTCCCCGTTAGCAAAGTCAAGGGGTCATCAAGTGGCTGGTGTTCCTGCAACAACACTTGGAAGGTGCGAAGCGCATACCAAATAATGGAACCACTGTAGAAATGCTATTTAGGGTTTGTTGGGCCGCCCCAACAACGTCAAAAAGGAAGATGATATCGTCCGCATAATTAAGAGTAACTAATATTTCAACAACCAGACAGGACCTCAAGGCCAACAGTGTGAAATTCCGTGAGGTAACATCGCATGATTAATTCCTCGACGAAATTGAAAAAAATGGGGAAATCGGACAACCCTGACGAACGCCATTTGTGGTCAGAAAGCTATCCGACAGATCACCGTAGACCCTGACGCGGTCTGTAGTGTTCTAGTATAGAGCATGTAGGATGTTCATATATTACGTGGGAACACCTTTCCGCGCAAGTATTTCGAACAGAATGCATTAGTCGACTGAATCGAACGCACTCTCGAAATCGAAGTGCACAGTTATTGTCGGTCTGCGGTATGCGTGGCGCTGCTCTATCACCTGCCTCAGAGTGAA